CTCTATTCACTTCTGATCATCTGATTAAGAACTGAGCCAATACATCCATCCAAAGGATTTGAGGAAATTAGATCCCAGCTTTTCCTCTCTAATGAAGAGCACATATTCAGACATCTCTTTTTTGTCAAATTATGCTCTGCTGGAGGCAATATAGCATGGTAGTTAGGAACATGGGTTTGAAATCAAATAAATCTGAATTTGAATGATATGCCCATCATTTTCATGCTGAATGATTTTAGGCAAATTACTTATACTCTCTAAGCCCTAGTTTCTGTCTGGTTAAATGAGAACAATGCCTTTTTTGTCGTCCTGTTAGGCTGATATGATATAAAGTACATGTCACAGCAGCTAGCCAATATTAATAACACAATAAACATATGACTAATGAATTGCTATTATTAGAATTTTATTGTTATCATTAATATTTACATTACCATCCAGACACGTATCTTGAAACCACAGATTTTCATTCATCCTCAAACATCCTGGTTTACTTCCTGAAATTCTTGAGAGCTCTCTGGCAGCAAGCACTGTCTTGCTTGAGGTTATAGTTAATTCAGGCATGTAACATAGTGGGAAGAATACACTTCCTCAGCCCCTGCACTTTTCCTAATGTCACATCCTTTCCTTGTTGTCTATAAAACAAAATGGTTGCCACTTTCAAGGTGACTTTCTCAAGGAAGAAGGCTTAAGTCAAGAATATAAATAATAAAATAATGCATTAATATCTTTAATCACATTAAAATTAAGGCATAGATAGTTAAAAAAAAAAAAAACCCAAAAGTAATAAGCTTACAATAATGGAAAGCATTTGCAATATATACAACTGACAAAGGATTTGTCTCCAGGTTATATGAAGTCTGTCTTACAGTATAATAAATAAAAAGAATAAAACCAATAAAAAAGCAGGGAAAAGAAACAACGATTTATTTCACAAGACAAAATTTGCATCAATAAGGATAGTGATGGCTGCTCTAATAGTCCAGTGTGGGTCTTCTAGTAGGTTGATGACATTTCACTGTGTGAAAATTCAGGGACCGGTTCACTTGTGTTTCAGGGCAGCAGGTAATTTGCTTCCAGACAATAGAGGAGAAGACACATATTCTTCTTTAAAATTCTGGCCAGGAAATGAGACACATTCTCTTCCACTGGGCAGAACATGCCATGTACCTGCACCTAGATTAGTAGAAAATGTGGCAGCTGCCTCCCAGTGACATCTTCACATGTGGGAAGGAGGTCATGAAATTTTGGGAGTCAGCCAGCCATCTCTGCCACAAATGTCCATTAAGCATAGGCTAAGATGCTCTACTTCGTCAGTAATAAGGGAAATAGAAAGTAAAACCACCATGAGATACAATTTTCTATTCGCCATAATTGTAAAAATTAAGAAATCTCTTAATACCAAGTGTCGTTGAAGAAGCAAAGTAACTCTCATACTCGTAGGAACTCTCATACCGAGGTGATGGAGATTTGAATTAGTAAAACTTTAAAAAATTAATAGACTTTAGTGGCTGGCCCAGTGATATAGTGGCTAAGTTTGTAAGCTCCATTTCATGGTCAGGGGTTTGTGAGTTCAGATCCCCAGTGTGGACCTACATACCATTCAACAAGCCATGCTGTGGCGATGTCCCACATAAAAAAATAGAAGAAGATTGGTACAGACGTCAGCTCAGCAACAAGATTCCTCAAGCAAAAAGAGGAAGATTGGCAACAGATGCTGGCTCAGAGCCAAACTTCCTCACCAAAAATAAAATAATAATAGTAATAATAGACTTTATGTCTCAGAGTAGTTTTAGGTTTACAGAAAAATTGAGCAGAAAGTGTCCATATTCTTCTCCTCCATCCCTACCCTGTTCCCCTATTATTAACATCTTGCATCAGTGTGGTACATTTGTTAGGATTAAGCTAACATTGATATATTATTAACTAATGCCCATAGTTGACATTAGAATTCACTCTTTTATGTTGTACATGTTTTTTTGTTTGTGTAAAATACATAATGACAGGTATCCACTGTTACAGCATCATACAGAATAGTTTCATTGCCCTTTGTTAAAAATCCCCTTTGTTCTACCTATTTATTCTTCTCCCCCTCAAACCTGAACTTCTGGTAGCCACTGATCTTTTTACTGTCTCTACAGTTTGCCTTCTCCAGCATGTCATATTGTTGACATCATACAGTGTGTAGTCTTTTCACTGTGGCTTCTTGATACAACTATTTTAGAGAAGAGCTTAGCAGTGATAGTTAAGTTGAACATACACATGTCTAAAATCTAGTAATTCTTCTTCTGGGTACAGAATTTAAAGAAACTCTTGCATATATGCACTAGATGATGTACAAGAATGTTTGCAGCAGCATTGTTTGTGATAGTAAAATGCTGAAAACAAACAAAATAGCCATGGAAGCTACAACAGACAAGTTTGTAGCAGACTCACAGTGGGACATTATACAATGTGGATGAATTTCACAAGGGCAGTATTGGACAGCAAAAGCAAAGCCTAGAAGAATAAATGTAGCATTATTCCATTTATATGCAGCTCTAGAGCATGAAAAATTGAAGGATAAACACAGAAGTGTTAAAATTTTAAAGAAAAGTAAAGGAATATTGAAAATGTTACAGATACTGGGTATTTTCAAGAGGAGAGGAAGATACAATTGAGGAGGAGACACAAGGTGCTGAACAATATTGTTAGTTTTCTACTGGTTGAGCCTGGAGATTGTTAAGTGAGTATTCCTTTTAATATTATTCTTTAAAGTGTGATTAGATGTTACATATATACAAACCCATAAACATATATATATACACACACATGCAGCAAACTATATACATGTGTGTTTAAACTGTATATATAGTATATATCTTCCTTTTTTGCTATTTCAACATTTTTAAACTTTAAATAAAATTTGCAGCAAAATGGGTAAAAATATTACTCAATTTTGAAAAATATTCAAATGATGCCAAGGACTCAGTATTAAACCACACACGTAGAGTAGTTTGAGTCCTACCTCCAGTAAATATTGCTAGTTTAGTGGCACTGGGCAACTTACTAAGTTTCTCTTAATATGAATTCCTTCCTTTATAGCAATTGCTAGGATTAAATTAAATAATGATTTGTCACAGGTATCAGCTTACAGCAATGAAGTTAGCTACATTTGCCTTGAGCAGAGGCAATTTCTCAGGACTGAAGACAAACTTTACCATTTCAGATGGAAACATAGGACACTATATTTATGTCCTTAGGGAAGGGAGGTATTGTTTTTAAAAATTGAGATACGTTTGGATTAAACTATACTAAATCCTTCCTGAGTTCAATTCAGGTTGTCTAGATTTCCAGATATTCTGCCTATGCATTATTAGTGCCATGCTCTGAAAGGCTCAACCTCCCTCATCAGATTAGACTGATCACCCATACTCACATCACCACTTGGAGAGCCACTTTAAAATCTCTGCTCTCTCTACCATGCTTCACACCCAGTTGGCCATCCAAGGACACAGAGGGCTACAGTCAAGGTTGAGTTCACCACCAGTCCTGTCTGCACAGTTTTCCTGGCCTAGTACAGAAAACCATCTCATTTCAATTCATGGCCAGGTCCACTCAATATAGAGGGGAAAAGAAGTGACATACCATGTTACCATAACTCTATAAAGAAACCTGAAACATAATTTGGACAATCGATAAGAAGTTAGAAACAAAAATAAAACTCAATATCTAATTAATGTCATTCATAAAAATAAATATCAAGTGTATTACAAAATTAAACACAAAAATAAAATCGTAAAACTGCCAGAGGAATATTTTTGTTATCTTGACAAAGGATAAGCTTGGCTGTACAAAATTTGTAAACTATAACAAAAAATAAAATAAAAAGACTGAAAGCTGTAACTGCATAAAAATTTTAAATGCTTGTAGGACAAGGGATACTATGTGAAAAAGAAAAATTATTTAGGAAAGGATAGTTTCGTAGGTATGTTTTTAATAAACTCTTCTGATGACTCCTTAAAATGAACAAAAACTAAACAGAGAAGAAAATGAAGTATAAAATAAAACAGGGAATGAAGAAAGAATGCTGCACCAAGATTCACCAAATTGCAGCTTTTCAGAGAGGAAAGGATGCTCACGTTGCATGTGCAGGATGGAGCAGGTCTTATATCCAATTAATAGGAAAAATAATGCTCATCATGGTGAAATTTTTCTCTACTGAGTATATTCCCCAGAGCTCCTTTCATATCTCGATTCCTCAGACTGTAGATAAAGGGATTTAACATGGGAGTCACCAGAGTGTACAATAAAGACACAATGACATCTTTGTCATTGGAGTTATTGGATGAGGGGAAAAAGTACAGTCCAATAATGGCTCCATAGTATAAAGACACCACAGAGAGGTGAGAGCCACATGTGGACAAGGCTTTGCAGATCCCCTTAGTAGAGGGGACTCTAAGAATGGTGCCACCAATGTGGCCATAAGAGACCAGGATACATATGAATGGCAGGGTAAGGACCACAGTTCCTACGATGAGGATAACCAATTTATTGACTGTTGTATCTGAACTGGACAGCTTAAGTAAGGTGGAGAGGTCACAAAAGAAGTGGGGGAGAGTGTTGTCTCCACAGAAAGAGAGACGGACCAGGAGGAGGGTGTGCAAAAGTGTACCGGTGCAGGATAGGACACAAGACACAGTCACTAGCAGAAAACAAATGTTTTGACTCATGATGGTTGTATAGTGGAGAGGGTGACAGATGGCCACATACCTGTCATAGGCCATTGATGTGAGAAGGAAGCTGTCAAGACCCCCAAAAAACAAGAAGAAGCACACCTGGGAAATGCACCCAGCATATGAGATGGACTGACTCTGTGTCTGCATATTCATGAGCATCTTTGGAGTTGTGACCGATGAGAAAGAGATATCAGTGAAGGCCAAGTGGCTGAGGAAGAAGTACATGGGAGTGTGGAGGCAAGAGTCCAGCCTGATGAGCAGAATGATAAGCAGGTTCCCCAGCACCGTGATCAGATACATGACCAGAAAAAGAGTATAGTATATGCCTTGGTTCTCTGTCCAGATAGGGAGCCCCAGGAGGATGAATTCAGACACACTGCTCTCATTATCCCTCCTCATGTTCTTCTCTTTTGCCAGAGATAAGAAAAAAAAATGAGAGATGGAAATGTGAAAGACTGGGAAATCATTGTGACTATCACAAAATGGAAACATGGTTTTGAATTAGTCAGTACAGGAATTTTAACCTGAATAGCTCAGTCTTTTTGTCCCACTAATGGGCTAAAATCCCATTAAAAACCTGATCTGACATCAGATTATTACACATCCACCTAGGAACCAAAAGAATCTCTTTTGAAGAAACCATGAAATATCAGAACGATCATGAGATCAGATCAGATTCAAACTTGAGGAGTCCAGAAATTCATGACAGAAATGTGAGATTAGGAAATTGTGGTTCAAGGCTAAGTCAGTAACCAGTTATTAGAAATTCTAGTAGAGACTCTCCAATTGGTCTGTTGGCCTTTCTTAACCTTCCTCACGCCCCTCACAAATTTTTAGCTAATGTTTTATTTCCATAGGTTGGATAAAGGAAGATAACCCAGTGAGCTGCTCTGGATCTTCCAGAAGTCAGAAATTGGAGACTTGGTGGAAACATATGTAACTGATCAAAGCAAAAGGATTAAGGACAAGAATCTATGTCAACAACATAAAAGATCTAGTGACATACCTTGTAACGTAGCCTTCAGTCCTTCATTTAAGAAAATTCTTTCCCACTCCTTAATGTTTTCAGTCTACCATCACTGTTTCTAAAAGAATTTTCATGGAACGTGGAGAAAAAAGTCTGCTTGTCTTCCAAATTCTCATCTTATTCCTTGAGTTCTGTGTGCCCATATATATATGGGCACACATTTGTTTACAACTCCTGAGCAATGAGCATGGGTTCTAACTTTACAAATCATGGAGAGGATTTTGGGGGGGGACAACACTCCACCCCCACCTACAAATTAGAGACAAACTGGAAATAATTGCCTCATTACCTTTGGTTCCCTTGAGGGAAGAGCTGTTGGTTGATAGCAAGCAACAGGAGAGTTCATGCTTGAAGGAATGATAATAATAACCACAAAGCAGCTACTAGGAACTTGGCGATTGACAAAGCTTTTTGTTTTCTCTGTTGACCTTGGGGAAAATTTGAGTCAGAGTCACAAGAAACCAAACTGGAGCCTGAACGTGTTAACAGAAGCCTCTTGTTTCTGAACCCCATGCTATTTCAAGAACACCAGGAACACTCTAATACTTTCACTTTCTGAATAAAAGACTGAGGGACTCTATATCTCGTCACCACAAATGGACCTGGGAAATGGACTACAGTTTCTATAGATCTTGGGGCTTTTGCCCGAAGACTATGGAATCGCCATTGTCTTGGTGCAAGTTTTTCACAATACCATAGATTAACTTTTCAAGAAATGCTTTCCATTAAACCCCTTACAAAAACTGATTCCAAATTTTTTGCATACATCTCCAGCTCCATTTCTTTGAAGCCAAATAGAAGATGAATATCATGTGTGTTATTGGAGATGAAGATGTGTGAATATTCATGTGCTATTAATTTGTTCTGTTTAGTGTCAAATCAATTAATACTTGGAACTGCTGTTTGAATGACCAGTATTGTGAGATATTTAGATTTCAGAAATGGATTCCAGATCCTATGGATCATGGTTGATAATCTGTTGCCCTAATTATAATGCTACAATTGACCTGCCTGTGTTCCTAAAAGTCGAGTCAACAAGATTTCCTTCTCAAACCAGAAGAACATCATTGGCACCTCCCTCTTTTCCTACAAGTGTGGAGATAAAAATAAAATCCATGACTCTTCAAGATTTCTTATTTGATTAAACAGTATGAGAAAAAGTGCTCTTTGAATTTAAGAAACTACATTACTACTTCCCCAGGTACCAGATACCATTTCCCAGAAGAACTTCATGTTTATCTTCTGCTATTCTAGTCCCAATCATCTTTCCAAAGACTATTCAAAACCTGCCCCCTGCAATAGCTTACAATTTAGTAACAAAAATACACTTACATATGCATACACACCAAAACTGAAAAGTAGGCAAAATGAGATTAATAGTTATGTCAGAGAAAAGAAACTCAAATGGGCTAATAATCATATAAAAAGATGGTCAAACTCAATAGTAATTAAGGAAAGACACGTAAAACTCCAGTGAGGTTCCATTTTATATTAATAGGTTAGAAAACTTATGTTAGAGGTTGCTCTTTTTTTACAATAATGTGTGTTAGTCCGAAGTCTTTTTCGTTTATAATAGAGAAACGATATGGCATTATATTTTGCACTTGAAAATGTTCGCTGACTTGGACTGTGTAATGCCAGTCTCAGGTATATATCCTAAAGAAGTTTTGCACGTGTAAAACTGGAGACAAAAATAGGAAAATCCATAGCAACATTGTTCATAATAGCAGAAAAAAATTTAAAAGTCCAACAACTAAGTTATGGTATCTTTACATTAGGAATATTGTAGAGCAATTATATGCCATATCAGTGGATTATAGAAATGAAATATTCAGAGAAAAAATGCAAGACTCCAACAACATGACAAAATGCTTAAAGACTTTATATCTATGTGTATCATTATGGACTGATGATTACAACTCTCCAGAAGTCATATACTGAAACTCTAACTCCCAGTGTAGCTGTATTTGGAGATGGGAACTCTAAGAACATAATTAAAGTTAAATGAGATCATACTGATGGGCCCTGATTCAATAGAATTAATGTGCTTATAAGAAGAAATGCCAGAGAGCTAGCTCTCTCTTTCTGTGCACACACACCGAGAAAAGGCAGAGTGAGGACATAGTGAGAAGATGGCCATCTGCAAGCCAGGAAGCGAACTCTCACCAAAAACCAAATCTGCCGGAACCTTGATCTTGGACTTCTAGCCTCCATAACTGTGAGAAAATAAATTTCTGGGGTCTAAGCCACCCAGTTTATGGTATTTTGTTATGGCAGCAGAAGCCAACTTAAGACACCAGCAGAGCTGGTGGTACTGAATCTGACTCTAGGTCTGGAGTTAGCTCTGGCTCTGCACAGATTCTAGTTCTGGTGCTAATGCTGGAACTGGCACTGTAACTGGCTCTAGCTCTGTAGCTGGTAATAGATCGAGACCTGGAGCTGGCCCTAGAAATGGAAGAGGAGAAATGCTCACCAACATGAATGGCTTTCCATTGCATTTCCAACGATATTTTGAGACCATGTAACCATAACTTCTTTACTTTTAAGATTTCACCCACTATATTTAACATCCATTGGTGATTCTTACATGAAAAAATTATTGCAAACGTCATAGCCAAATGATGACTTTCTAATTCTGTCATATTTTCTACATTTATCTGTTGTATTGTCCTGTAAGAAGGAACTCTCCCTCAGCCCCTACTTGTTTGTTTTTTCATTGATTTATTTATATCATTAAGGACTCTTAGATTCTTATTTATTTGAGTCATGATCCTTTCCTGGTGTTATTCATTTTGAAGATCAAGTTATTCCAGGCTTGGCCAGTGGGAGCCCTTTCAAGCTGGCTGCATGTCCCCATGATTCATGGAACACTTTTCACTTTCAGGCTCAGCAAAATTTTCTTGGATGATCTTCTCATATCCTGGCCTCAGCCTGGAATAAGTCAGTTTTCTAAGTAACATTGGTCCCTTTATGAGGAGAATGGTAACGAACAAATTGGGTGTTATGTGTGTTCATTGCTTTCAAAGGTTCTAAATGATCTCAGAGGATGCAACTAGGAAATTATATAAAAGAAAAATGGAAAGTAGAAACTAGAAACTAATAAACTAAAGAAATTGTTACCCATAAGAAGTTGGTCAGGAGTGGAACAGAAAGCATGGGGGATGGGAACAGTATAGATATATAATATATAAATTTCAATATATTTATAGATGTATTAAAAACCATGAATTAATTTAATAGCTCCAATTCTAATTTGACACCATAGATTTTTTTTTTGCAGTCTCTGCTTTTCCATGTACATAGTGCCTTTCCCCTGATAATAAATTTTTAATGTATTAAAGTACATGGGGAATCCATTCTGGTTTGACCTTGATTTAACCTGAATTTTAATTGAACCAAAGAAGCCTGACTTACAGCCTGTCAAACATACACTGTACATCTGCTTTATTCATTACCCTTTATTAAAAAATGTACTCTAAGGATAAGAATTAATGCCTCTCTTCTTACAAATCCAGTGCTCTTTAAAGACAAGAATTAGTGTCTTCTTTACTATGACACCAGGATCATGTTGACCCACTGTGTACATGATAATATGTAAGGAATGTACCCCTGTTATGCTTGAAGTATTTATCTCTGTCTTGAAATGGTATATAATTGTGCTGAAAATTGTTCTTCTCCAGAGTGCTTTCCTCTATTGCAAAAGCTGCAACTCCCAGGCTATACTCCTCAATTTGGCTCTCATAAAACTCACTTCTTTTCTTTACTATATAATGATTATTATTTGCAATGATATTTCTTGGCAAGCCAGACAGGAGTTCAGAGAAACCCACCTGGAGCCTACTTTGAACTGGTACTTTGTAGAAGCAAAGGCCCATTGTACTCCTCCGGTTTTACTGCACTCTTCAGCTGTTTTGGTGAGTTCTTCCAAAATCTGGACCTCCTTATTTAAGTTGACAGTCCTGACTTTTATTTGAGGTATTTTCCATCTTAGTACTAAATACCTTAAGTGTACTTTTCATAGGTAAGGGGAACCTAGGGGAAATATGGAGTGAACTGGGTTGACTGAACTTTTAATTTGGCTTAAAGAATTTGAAAAGATTTATGCCTATAAAGTCTGAACAAATTGACAGCAAAAGGAGAGACTTAACTTGTTCAACTCCGATCGTTCCTGCCACAAGGAATTCTCAGGCGACTGAGAATCTGGTGGAAGTGTCTGAGGTCAATCCTCATGATATGCAGTGGTCCCATAGACAACTTCA